GTGTAGTAATGATAAAATATACAATTTTCCTCTAGTTCTTAAATGCTTCCTCCTCGTATTGTTTTGAACCTCTGTTTCACTTTTCTGAGGCTCACCTTTCTCCTGCCTAAGATGGCTGCTCTGGTGAACCCACCAATCCTGCTTCGATTGGTTGAGATGACATTCAGAGAGATTGCTGAATTTGACATTATGTTTTAAATGATATAAAGTGCTTGGTCAAGAAGTAATTGCTGCAAAATAAGCATTGAAGTCCTTTCTTTGACTCTGGAGTGTGAAAATCAGGTAAAGTAATCTGCTTGGGAAAGGCATTTTTGAGAAATAGGAACAACTACATAGATGCTAAATATTATAATAATACTACAGAAGTAATAGAAGAAGAAAACTTTCAATCTCCTATGGCACTAGTCCCGTCTATCTCCCCAAAGCCAAACTCATGGCCACCGAGTTGATTCAAATTTATAGCGTCACTGTAGGACAGAATAGAACTGTTCCTTTGGGTTTCTGAGATCGACTGCTTCATCTTTCTCCCGACGAGTAACTGGTGGGTTTGGAATGCCAACCCTATGGTTACCAACACATTTTCTCTGAAGTCTCAGAAAGGTAATCCTTCTTTTTCGTCAACTCCAACATGATTTCACCCCTAGAGTAAAAGGTAGAATTGGTCCCACCCACACCAACTGATTTAGAATGGCCATGTGGTTCTAGCACAGTAAAATCTGAGCACTGTTGTCAGAGAAAGGAGGAATGGATACTGGGAAGCAACTCAATACATTTCCACTACCTTGTATCCTTTTGATTAATTGATTTAGAAATACTGATCCATACACAATCAATGCTAAGGCAAGCGGGAGTCAAGAGACAGAATGACTCATTGCATTGGGTAAATCTGTTTCCCCAAACCATTTACAGTGTAAAGAAGTTACTTTGGGGGCTGACATGTGCCTGATAATTTCAAATACCTCATCTGCCTGTGGAAGCGGGACACTGAGTAAGGAAGACTGAAGAAGAATGGATTCATTTGAGTGCTGACAAAGAATATTGGAAGTACCATGGACTGTCAAAAGAACAAATGAATCAACCTTGGAAGATGTAGTCAGAATGCTCCTCAGAGGCGAGGATGGGAGACTTCATCTCACATATGTCGGGTATGATGTCAGGAGGGACAGTCCCTGGAAAAGGGTTTCCTGCTTGGTAAAGCAGAGAGGCAGGGAAAAAGAGGAGAGCCCTCAGTGAGATGGACTGACATAATGGCTTCAGCAATGGGCTCAAACATAATAGTAATTGTGTGGATGGCACAGGACCAGGCAGTGTTTCATTCTTTTGAACATAGAGTTTCTATGGCACCTAACAATGGTGCCTAACAACAACTCCTGGAGACTCCCTACATGTCAGAGTAGAACTTTGCTTCAGATGTTTCAACGATTGATTTTTCATAAGTAAATTGCTAGGTTTATCTTCTAAGGTGACCCTGGGTAGACTCCACCCTCTAACCTTTCCTTTAGCAACTGAGCGCTTAACTGTTTGCACCATCCAAGGACTATGTTGTAGCTATGTAGTAAATATGAGATTACATCAGGCTTGTTCATCTGACGTGTTTTGCCTATCTTAAATAGGCAATGATGAATCCCGTAAAATGGGGCCATTGTTGTCTACTTAAGGAGAGTAGGCACACAGGCAGGTACTGTTCCCATTCTATAAAGGTAGCAAGCAGACCTTCAAAATGTATCTGGCCTCAAAGGGCATTTATTGAGGTCTAAATAAAGGCATGTACATATATAAATATATTTATATTTCAGGATGGGGAAATAGATTTATGTGCATATTTATAGGTTTAGTATTAAGGTAGCAGATGGACATTGGACCTCCACTCAAGTACTCCCTCAATGCAAGAACACTTTGTTCTATTAAACCGACATTCCATGATGCTCACCTTCCAGACATAATCGCTGAAGACAAAGCAGGTGCATAAACAAATGTGGTGAAGAAAGCTGATGGTGCCTGGCTATCAAAAGATATAGCATCTGGGGTCTTAAAGGCTTGGTAAACAAGCAGCCATCTAGCTCAGAAGCAACAAAGCCCACATGGAAGAAGCACACCAGCCTGTGTGATCATGAGGTGTTGAAGGGATGAGGTATCAGGCATCAAAGAACAAAAAAATCATATCATTGTGAATAAGGGGGAGTGTGGAGTTGGGAATCAAAGCGTATCTGTAGGCAACAGGACATCCCTTTCTGGAAGGGTCGTGGTGAGGAGATGAGCCAATTAGGGTGCAGTGTAGCAATGATGAAACATACAACTTTCCTCTAGTTCTTAAATGCTTCCTAACTACCCCCGTCCCACCCACTATCATGATCCCAATTCTACCTTATAAATCTGGCTAGACCAGAGGATGTACACTGGTACAGATAGGAACTGGAAACACAGGGAATCCAGGGTGGATGATTCCTTCAGGGCCAGTGATGAGAGTGGCAATACCGGGAGGGTGGATAGAGGGTGGGGTAGAAAGGGAGAACCGATTACAAGGATCTACATATAACCTCCTCCCTGGGGGACAGACAACAGAAAAGTGAATGAAGGGAGACGTCGGACAGTCTATGATATGACAAAATAATAATTTATAAATCATCAAGGGTTCAAGAGAGAGTGGGGAGCGGGAAGGAAGGGGGGGAAATGAGGAGCTGATGCCAGGGGCTTAAGTGGAGAGCAAATGTTTTGAGAATGAGGACAGCGAATGTACAAATGTGCTTTATATAATTGATGTATGTATGGATTGTGATAAGAGTTGTATGAGCCCCCAGTAAAATGATTTTTAAAACTGTATCTGGCCTCAGCTCACCTTTGGGAAGCCTCTGCTGTCCTCAGTCCCCAAACAGCCTTTGGATCCTCTCCCATTTTTCTTATCACTGAATTGTCTTCCTTTGGGCACCAAGTGCACCATTGTAATAGCTGGCTGGCGTGTCTTCCACTTTAGACCGTGAACTCCTTGAGGACAGAGGCTCTGCTTGATCACACTGCATTTTCTGTGACTGACTTTTACCATCCTATAAACATTTGCTCTCTGTGTGATCTCAGTCAAGTCATGGCCTCTTTGCTCTCAGCTGTACTGATGTCCAGACTCTACAGCTAGCCCAATGGGCACTTTGCCTAGATAAATGACTAGATGTATCTTGTTTTGAAGGAAATGTACTTATTTGACCTTAATTTTCATAGACTTCCAGGGTATTTCACAAGATTAAACAAACCACCCTACTACCACGGGGTTGATTCCAATTCATAGTGACCCTATGTAGGGTTTCTGAGGCCAAGAGCAGATAGCCCCATCTTTCCCCGGCAGAGTGGCCTTGAATTCCAACGTGGCAGTGGACAGTCCAACTTGGACCTAACAGCACCAGCAGGACTCCTAAACAAACCAACAGAAACCCACTGCCCTTCAATGGATT